GATGTGACCAGATGAGCTGGTTCACTGCACACCAGGTCCACAGAGGAGGGAACTCCCAACTCTAGGAGATAAAAACAAAAAACAAAAAAAAAAATTTAATTTCAAATAAAAACAGTAAAAACTGTAAAACTACTAAATGTAGATGAGTTGGTTACTTTTGTTTTCATTAAATACTGCAAGTGAAGGGGAGGTGGTGTTGGCGTCCCACAGTCTGACCGTCCCGTCTGCAGAGCAGGAGAGGAGGCGCTGGTGTGCGCTGCTGTACACCAAGCCCCAGACAGAGTCCGTGTGTCCGCTCAGCTCCCCACGCAGCACTGATGGGTCTGTCACAGAGATTACACCATGACCACACTCACTTTTTCTGCTTCACAGCTTTCAACCCTCCTGATTCGAATCAAAACACATGCTGAGGTTACCGTAGGAGTCGTAGGGATCGATGTTTGGGTTGGGCGTGTTCCAGCACTGGATGGTGCCGTCCACCCCTCCGCTGAAACACTGCTCTCCTGTGCTGCTCATCACCACACTCAGGACAGCGCCTCTGTTTAATGGAAAACAATAAAATTACCTTTAATCATTTATTTAAGGATTGAAAAAATAAAACTGCTTGAGTAAAAGTGTTGCATTTTACCTGTGGGCTCTAAAAGTGTAGATGGGCTCCACGTCTAAAGATGTACTCCTGTAGAGAAAATGATTATTTAAAAACAAATGTCAGTAAAATCTCACATGGATAGATTATTTATCACTATTAGTCAATATACTTGGGTGTTAGGACTGCCTGTTGCTCTTTGACACATAAAGGAAACCCAGACACTTTGGTGTCATCAATTGGAGCATAAGTAATAAAATAATGAATCTGAATACTTTTGTATGGAAATCATTTTAGTTTTCCATATATTTGGTTTCCACAAGGAAAAGATGCAGTGAATCTAGAAAGATTTCACAGCACTGCAATTTTTCTTCACTTTAAAGCCTTATTCCAAATCTTATCAATAATTATTGATGTTCTAAAGATTGGAAGCATAACTCCAAACAGAAATGATATTCTGCATAAAATAAAATTATTTACTTCATAGTTAATTTTTTTAGGCTTTAAAATGTATAAAGGCAAATAGTTAATTACATCTATCAATATCATTATTTCTCTATATTTCTAACCCTTTTGTGCATTCTATATATATTTTCCTAAAATGAGCATCTCCGCTTCATATCATCAATATTACATCATATTCCTTTTTATATAAATCCTCCCATTTCTCAGCTCAATATTTTGCCATATTTCTGGTTATACAAAAAAGAAAATGAAACTAATTAGTGTTTTCTTAGAACAAAAAGTGATATTAACACTGGTATAGATAATTGCAGGTAAAAATTAAAATTAAATAATTATTTATGCCACATTTTATGATCGGTCTGTGATGTGTTTTAAAAATAGGAGTCCTAGACATGGCTAGAATAATAATAATTACATACAAAGGCATTACATTTTAAATATTTGCATGTACCAAAATGTTTGCACATACAAAGCTGATCTACAAAGTAGGTGCAAAACTATTTGTGTGTGTCAGTGAACAAGCAGCGTGTGCAAAGTTGTTTTTTTTTCTATTGGACAACCAGCATAATTCTGCTGCAATAAGTGCAATACCTCTACTTATTGCGTGTGCAACTATTTTTATCTCTTCCTATTTGGATTCTTTTGAGATCAGGCCCTTAGTCTTTCCTATTTCTAGCAGCTGCTGTGTTAGGGTTAGGGTCATTCTGCACAATCACTGACAAAGACATAAAAAACGTTCTTTCTTCAGAATATGCTTGCTCAATTTGGGATAAAAGCTAAAACCAGCCTTCTGATGAGAGGGAATAACCAGTCCTACTTTTTGGCGGGAGCAGTCTTTTGGAGGTTCCACATCTTGAGCGTGTGATCCTCGGAGGCAGTGATCAGGACAGGCTCCACAGGGTGAAAGGTCAGAGCACGAATCCCGTCAAAATGACTCCGCAGGGTGAATTTAGGGTTCCATGTTTTTCTCATGGCGTCCTTATTGTTGCCAATCTGAGAACAAAACATCAAATAAAGAACAGAAAAAAAGAAACAAAGATCATAAGAAATCAATTGAATAAAATACAAAACCTAAAAACAATATAAACATAACCTTAAGCATGTCACCATGTAATGTAGGGCTGCCACTAATAATTTGTTTGCAAATCTGTTAATTTATCAATTACTCCATTAATAATTGTACAGCCAAAGACTCTTTAAAAAATACTGAAATCAAACCAGACTTTAAAAAAAACTTTTCCACTTGAGGAGTTCTGGGTAGAACATATTGTCCAAAGATTTTTTTATTTATTTTTTTTTATCTTAAATGCAAAATAGAATAGAATAGAAAATCCCTTTATTGTCCCACAATGGGGGAAAAATGTTTATATATATATATATTGTAATTTTGGTATAACCACTGCTTTAAGAGGGATGCTCTTTCAGCTAAAGGTGTGTTCTAGAACAGGCATCCCCAACCTCGGTCCTCAAGGTCCCCTGTCCTGCAGGTTTTAGAGGTTTCCTTGCTTTAGCACAGCTGATTTTAAATGAAAGCTGATTAACAGGCTTTTGGTCAAATGCAATCATTATAAACAGCTGTGCTAAAGCAGGGAAACCTCTAAAACCTGCAGGACAGCGGGCCTCGAGGACCGAGGTTGGGGATGCCTGTTCTAGAGTTTAAACTCCAGTTAATGGTTAATTGATTACTAAATTAGTTGACAATTATTCCAATCTATCAATCATGATTAATCCAATTAATTGTTTCACCTCTAATGTGATCCATTTCATTCTAGAGGCCTGTTAAATAAATCTGGAGTTTCACAAAATGTTTGCAAGATAAAAATGTTTGGTTAGAACCCAAATTCATTCCATCTCTTTTCTCAATGTGTTTTTAAATCTAAGTCCTGATAAACATCCTCTTGCCATCCAGAAAGAATCCACTTTTTTCCAAGGTAGTTTTATTAGTTTTGTGCAAAAAGTCAACTTTTCCCACTCACATCATAGGCCATGCTGTCGGCCTCGTTGGCCACGGTCAGTCCCGCCAGCTCCCCCAGACCCAGAACGTTCTCCATGCCCTCTTCTGTCCCCATGATGAACGTCTTCCCTGGTGAGGGAGGGAAAGTGAGCGATTCAACTGCAGAAAAAAAAGAAAAAAACATTAGTAACAACATGGATAACTGTCTAAGAAAGGAAATCTGTTCTTTTTTTGTTTTTTAAATCACCTTCATCTGTTCTGTTTCCCTCGTGTTCATTGAAGCGGGCCGCATTGGGCCGGGACTGCGGGGTTGATGGAGGCTGCATGTGAGACAGGTCCTCCCCGTCTCTCAGGTTAGCCAGCATGTCTTGCAGCTTTGACCGGTTGGGCCCTGTTAACAGGTGAGGTTAGAAGTTCATACAACCCATAAGGTTTGGATGGGGGGGTGGGTAGAATAATAGAAACAAAGAAAGAAAATTAAATCAGAAAGCAGTGGGTATGTGCTGAAGCAAAATATGAGAAGGGAAGAAAGCGATGCTGAAAAAAGTGGAAGAACCAAAAACCAGTAAAAAGAGAAGATGATAGCAGACCAGCAGCAGAGTCCTGGAAAGACAGAAAAGGTGTTGAGGTACATCCATCTTTAACAGTAAACCGTGTGGAGAGCTTTTCAAAATAAGACCCAATTTAAATGCACGGCTCCGTGAAAGTCAGGTGTTCTTTTAACAATAATAAACTTCATTAGTTTCTAATTTTTAAAATAACACAACGGGCAGTACAATTGTTTTCCCTTCAGATTATTTGGAGAAATGTTCGGAAAAATATTAAAGCATGGCTTTAATTTTGTTGTTAACAAATTGGAAAACATACATTCAAGCTTTAAAACAGACATACCCAAACATTAAAGGGAGTTTATGTCTATATTTGCGCCTTAAATCATTTCAACCTCATGTGGAGTAAAGAAAACACATTTACATTAGATTTTATTGTGTGAAACAATTAAATATCTGATTAAAAGCCTAGAAATATATATGGAGTTTATACTCCTTCAGAGAGTTTTCCTAGCTTTAAACACCTGCCTGTTAGCTTGATATTAGGGTTGATGACTCACTTAAAAGTTTGCATAATCTAACAACAAGCTCTAACAGGCCTGAAAGAATGCATCCCAGGTTGGTCAAAGGGAGGCTTGTGTTCAAAAAAGACTGACGTCAGTCGCTGGTTTAGTTATTCTAACTTAATTTTGCTCTAAAAAGCCTCTCCACATCAACACCCATGTGATAAAGCACCAAAAGGAATGACAGAAAAAAAAAAAAAAAAGATTTCTGCTAGATCAGAAGAGGAGAAATCAAAGCATTAAAAAAGGGGGGGGTGGTTGAGTCATGAGGAGAAACGAAGAGAGTCGAAGGATGTTGTTGATCTCATGATCAATCAAGGACTGAGGGATAGCTTGCATGAATGCGAAACATAAAAGCTCCAAGTTGATAAATGAGGCTAAAGTGCGCACTTAATCTGAGAGCAATATTAGAGTCACTTCTCTGAATGGCTGAAAAATAGCTCATATTAGCTGTTAATCTACATCAGCAGCTATATTATTTGCTACTAGAGTATCAACGTGGCAGATGGGTGACGACATTGATGGTGATCATTATGTTATTATGACTACAAAGACACAGAAACGGATGTGTGCAAAGATGGCTGGAAGCCCAGATGGGAGATGGATCGCCTGATTGCCACAAACTGACACATTAGACTCTGATATTTACTAGATGACGGCATGAACATACAGGGGAAGGAAAAACAAACAAATGCGACGGACAAACATGCATCAAGCAACATATTTCATTTGAGAGGAGAGTTTGCATCTGCAAGCACTAAGTAGAGGACAAGGAGTATAGAGAGAAACAAAGGAGGGAGCGGCTAGAGGAGGAGATGGAAAAAAATAGAGATGTTTTTTTATTTTTTGATCAGAGGCGTTTTAGATTGAGCTCAGGAAAGTCAGGCTCTGCAGAGAAAAGAGACTGAAGGAGGCAGCAATGTCTAGCAGCACTTACTCTTCACCCCCTTTTTCCCCTTGCGCTCCTTTTTGTACTGCTCCTTGAGTTTGGTTATCAGGCCCGGGTCCACGTCCCAGGCCTCAGAAACGGGACCCTGCTCGTCCTTTTCTACACAGGGGGAACAAAAACCAGACCGAGAGGCTGTTGAGGAGCGGCGTGGGTCGAAGAGAGGCTGACCTCCAAAAGAGCAGAGCTGGAAATGCTAAACTCTCCACTGCTCTCAAGATTTAGTGAGCTGGTGAAGGTTTTTTTTTTTAATCAAGTGATGAAAGTAAACATTTAAAACTAGCCCTTATGCCAATATTGTTAAAAAACTGGACTCACAGACTTCTCCCATATCTTTTTACTTACACTTATATTCGAAAAGACAAATAAAAAAATAAAATAAAGCATCATCTTCTGAATAATTTATACATTATGGAGATTTTTTCCACTTTTGAGATGACGCTAAAACAACTTTCAGAATTTTTTTATGTCCCAACCCTAAACAACCATGAAACTAATCAGAATTTTATAAATTAGATCAAAACAATTTAGTCTGTAACTTATCTAAGAGTTAAAGGTAATCTTAGCTCCCCGACCCGGTAGAACCACCGATGGCAAGTTGAAGTTCTTCCACAGATAACTAATCTTGTCTGAGCTTCGACTAGGCCGGGGTTCTTGGATTACAGTCCTTGAAGTTCAGCTTCCTGCGTCTTTTAGACGCGTCTTTGCCTCCGCACATGAATCAAATGGCTGAAGAACCCCCTCAGCATGAGTCCTGATAAAGACCTGACGTGGGGAAGTAAAGACGCATAGGGACAGCGGACCTCCAGGACCAGAACCGAGGAACCCTGGACTTATGCTATGTTCAGACTGCATGCGCTAGAGGCAGCAGAAGCGGCTGGTTTAGAGGCAAAGTCGATGGTTGATGCACATCAATGCGCAGCAAAGGTCCCGCAGTGCGTTCTGAGCCGCGAGATTCTGAGCATCTGACACGCAGGATGCGCTGAAAAAGCAGCAGAAGTTGGAATTGGAAAATAATTTAACTTTTGCTGCTCAAAGTGCCGAATCGAACAATCAGAGAAGCTGATTTAGGAGCTGGCAGGGAGACAGACACAGCACTGCTGATGCAGATCACTATTAATGCCTAAATTAACTTAAAATGTCAAAAACCGCCTGCAGTTTAGATTACGTACATGAAAAAAGCCTTCCAGCTGCTGAGAATATTAGCGGAAAACCGCAAAGAGGCGACCGGGCCAGAGCCTGCCATTGCAGGGGATTTACAGCGACAGAACACCGCCGGTGTACAGGGGTCTGAGTGGCTCCGATAGAGAAATAATATTTGAAGGCATGATCGTAATCTTGATGAACAGACTGCACAGATTAAGTTTTCAGGTGGACTTTCTCACTTAAAAACATATTAAAGCGACTTTTTGCCCACTTAGAACAGCAAATATAGCATAGCTGCTCTCTGCCATTGATCAGAGGAGCAGCAGAAGCATCAGGCGCATCTGGACCCACTTTACTGGACGCACTTCAGGAGCGTAAAAGCTGTTCTTAATGCTTATCAGACATTAACGTGAACAAACATCAAAACTGAAGCAGCAGCAGCCTTTTTTCTGCTTTCCAGCGCTTGCGGTCTGAACGTAGCATAAGCTTTGATCTAAACTGTTCCACAGTAGGTCCGACAGTAGGCGTAGGTTCGTATTCCTGCTGGTATTATGTCTAAAAACATGTCTAAAAAGCAATAGTTAACCACTACTTTGTGTTAGTTTATCATATAAATGGGTCTGGATATTTTTGCAAGCCGTTTTTCTAAGGCTTTGAGTTATTTGCAGCTAATCAGATTGATCTGACAACAAACCAGTGGAAGACACACAGCGGGGCGGCTATGGAAACACACAGTGGGACACAGACTGTTGGTTAAACAGAGACAGTCCTAATGTCATGATTTATGACCACAGCGTGATAAATGAATGACGAAAGGCTCCATGAAGCATCAAACTGAGGGAGAAACGGTTGTAGATTTCTGCACTGCATCATTAGTCATCGATCCTGATCTCACACTAGATGCTCTAGCTGTGTGAGCAGAGTCTAAATCCTAGTTACCCCAGTCTGTGCCGTCTCCGGTCCCTCTGGACTCTGTCTCCATATCGTCTGGATTTGACAGGAAGTCGAAGCCCTTCAGGGCTTCCTCTGTGTCCGGGTCCTCGGTGGTGTCCATACTGGCCGGAGATGACGATGAAGACGACGATGAATGCTTCTTCCGCACAATCTGAAGAACAATTCATCTTTTTTCAGACTCTTCATGAACATCTTAAACCAAACAGGTAAAAGTGGACTGGTTCCCTTACAGTCCTGGACTCCACATTAGTCCGGTCTTTCCCATCGTTATCCTCCTCCTCGTCTTCGTCGCTGAACTCTGCAGCTGCGTTCTCGATGAATTTGAAGGCCTCCAGCACAGCGTTCGTATCGGAGAGCTCCACTTTTCTGCACAGACAATTTGAAGTTAATCAGCACAGTAGTGGAGTTAGCAACTCGTTACACCAACAAAAACCTGATATTTATATTTAGAGTTAATTTTAGAGCTAAGCTAAAAATAATAAAGAAGCTTTCTGTCATTTTTTTTTTATCTTAAAAACCGTTATGATTGTTTTTAAAGACTACAATTTTCTTTTGCTCTGCCAGAGTGGTGACCACCGGCCCCACCACGACTCTGATGGAATAAGCGAGAGAATATAGATGGATGGGATTTTCACTTTCCAAAGTCTGTTTTATTGTTTAATCAGGTAAAAAGAAACTGAAGGGAAAAAGGAGAAATGTAGTATGATGTTTATTACAAAGAGATCTGCTTTAAACTGAGTAGTGAAACGAGATTGAATGTCTGCAGCCGGGAAAACATCATAAAACAGAAACTATCTGAAATAAAAATAAAAATTTGCTTGATGCTGGTGTGGGCAGCAGTTTAGCAGCAAGGACCAAACATCTGTCTGCAGCTGGAGGCGAGGGTCCCGCTCTGGTTTTACCACCGGTGTTTAGATCTATAGATATATAGCTCTAGATAAACATTTGAAACTCATTTTGCTGTCTGAATATCCTCATAAATGATCTCCCTTCTTATCTGGAGTAAACTCACCCCCTGGTCCCCATGCCCTTTGGTGTCGAGTTGGGCCCGTTCACTGAAGGCTCCGTGTTCATCCGTTCACCGGTCTTCCCGGCTCCGTCCCCGGCAAGTCCCAGGAGCGCTCGGACTCTCTGTGACTTAACATCCAAGATGGTGTCAGTGTAGCCAACCTCCTGCAGGTACCTGCAACCACATAAAAATGAGTTTAATAGGAATCTTTTTTGAAAACAGAGTAGCAGAATACACCTTTCAGAATAAAAAAAACATAAATAAATAGAACCCATCTCTGCATCTGCAGCCACAACGTTAACGTAATGTGACAGAGGTTAATGTTGCTTTATGTTCTGCCATGACGACCCAAATTTACAGCATCTCATCACTAAGCGTAAGACGGATGTTAGGGCGGCAAATCTCTCTGTTCTAACATCTCCAACTAAAATATTAAAAGTTTCTGGTTCAAAATTAAAGATAAAAAAATGGAAAAGCCCTTCAGGTTTTTTTGTAAGCAAGGTGGAGGAATGGTGATGCTGTGGGATTAATATTTTACTTCAAAAAGGGCTTTTGTAAACTTTTCAAAGTGCAACATTAAAGTCTCTGAATAATAACTCTGAACCATGCAACTAAATCACTACTGATGCACAAATTAAAAGGTTAAATTTCTTCTAACATTTTTACTTTGGACAAGTGTGATGGCTGCATGTGCAACCACACAAATGGTCTGGTAATTCTTTCATTAAATCTTCTATTTTACTGTACTCATGTTTTTCTACTTTGATTTGACATTGGTTAACTATTTGGGTGTACACATTTAGTTGACTCATTTTGTCATTTCTTGCTTGTTTGGTTTCTGTACATTAATATATTTTTCATTTGATTTGCCAGTTTCTGGGAGGCTGTCATGAGTGAAGCCAGTAAAGGAAAGGAGGCCCCAGGTGCAAAGGATCTCCTCATAGACATAGAGGCCTAGTTGGACTCTTCCACTTACATTTAGAAGGGGTGTAGAAAGGATTTAGGTTTCTGTATTTGGTTTTGTTTTCTATAATAACATTTGGAAAGTTTAATATTTAAGTCCTCTTCCTCATAGGTTGCTGATTTAGTATGATGCTGATTAGTTTTTTCTTTTGTTGTAGTTTTGTTTAGGAAAATGTATTTTATGTGTCCCTCTTGTTTCAAAATGGTCTGATCAACCAGCGTATATATATGTTTCCCTTGTGTGTCAGTTAGGTAGGTCTTTTCCTGTGTCAGGTTTGGATTATGCTGATTTTTGTCATTTGTTTTCCTTGATGGGCCCAGTCTTGTTTGAACTTTTGAACTTTATTTTTGCAAAATAAATTTGTTACCATTTTTTCATCAATGACTTCCCTGTGCTTCTCTGATTTTTTGGCTCGGTCCCTCACAACAAGTAAAAATGCAACAACAATTTAAAGACTTTTATACATCTTAACCAGGGTACCAATATAATTAATTGACAAGTACTATGTATAAAAAAAAACAATCAAATCTGAAAAATCACCTGGAAACATTTAATATAAGTCAGAAAACAGAGTTTATGTTTACTAATATGATTAAAAAAGTTATTTTCCATCCTTCTTATAATTTCAAGTGTTTATACATTACTCAACTACTACTTTCCCACATCTAAAAAAACAAAACAACTTTACATTTAATCATAAAACCTATTTTTTTAGATGTTATCTCATGATCATGATCTCCTGACATGAGTTTATGAAAGAGATGTGGAAAAACATGTAATCCCTGAGGAGTTCGATTAATGCAGTCAGTGCTGCTGAGGCAAAACGACTTGCTCATCAAATATTACACCAGCCGCACGGTGAGGAATAAGAAGCGCTTGTAATCCAAGAGGGCAACTAACGGACAGGGAGGGGCGTTATTGATCTGTAGCTGAACACAGACTGCAGAAGGAAACGGCTCCTTTCATTTGCCTGCATGTCAGAGCAGATGAGGGGCTGAAATGGTGCCATGCTAGGAAAGCTTACAGGCTTTAAAGTCTAAAATATATACAACCTTCTGAACCCAAAGGGAATGTGGAAGGAAAAACTTGCTGTAGTAATGACTGCAGCTGTCCATTAGAGGGTGCTCTTCACCACAGATTTTTTTTTTTTTTTATCTACTAAGACAATGATCTCACAAAACCTGCTTGACTGAAAGGAGCGACTTCTCAGCCACGCAGAAAAATACAACCATGGCAGATTTAATTTGGTTTGTTTCTGTGTTCAGGATCAATTCAAAGCTCTTTCTGCACTCACTGCCTGAGGAGCTGTCGGCCATGTTTCCAAGACAGCTGATTGTTGAGGGATCCAGAGGAGTCGTTCTCGTTGGCCTCGTCTGAAGGAGAGAAGAAGGACACAAATCAGAGCTCCATGAAACGGCAAAGCGTCTGACATTATTTCCGCTGCGCAAACACAACAAGAACATTCCTGCATCGCTGAAGCTCATTCTTTCATGGACTCACTAAAACAAAATGTCAAGTCGCATTGAACAGGAAACATTTTCTCCCTGGTGTGTAAAAAAACGGGGCTTTAAACTTTGAAATTCAATTTCCCTTCAGTTTCCACACATTTATCCAAACATTAAAACTTTCATTATACAAATGAAGCTTTTAGAGACACAAGGCCAAACACTTAAAACCTAAACAAATCATCTGATGCGATTTTGACGTAAATGGATGATCTCTGCTCCACCTGTGTACCATGAAACACTAGAAAAACTGGAAATGTCGGCATCACCAAGGAAACAACACAAGCTTTGATATTGTTAAAAAATAAAAATAAATAATGCATCGATGAAAATCAATATTTTATTTGATGTCAGTTTTTATAAAACAAAATGTCAACACTGCTCATCAGTCCAAAGGTTTTAATACGAGTTGAACAGCCCTGCCAAAGCTTTTATACCACTTTAACTTTTCCAGATTTTGTCATTTTAAACCAAAGATTTTAATATATTTATTTGGGTTTATGCATCATCTTCTTCTTTTTTTTTGTTAAACATAATCTAAAAGATGAGTTGTGCTTTTATATTAAGACACCCTGATGCTAAACTATAGTATCGTATGTCTGATTTTCTGTTTAGAGTCATCGTCCTGGTGGATGGCAAACCTCCGCCCAGGTCTTAATCCGTGTGCAACAGGTTTTACTTTGGCTTTAGCTCCAACTCTGAGCAACTTGTCTGAGGAACAGCTAACAGCCAACTGAATTTTTTTTATTTTTGCATCAAGGCCAATTAGATCTAATCTCACTATAGGATCCACTTTTGCCGGGTTGCTCACATGTAGCCACAAACTAGCCTCGTGAGACCATCCTGATCTC